TGAGAAAACAGAGGAAGAATTGGATAAAAATGTTACCTAAAAAAACCTGACCCTTAATTCAGAACAGAGGCCTCCACAGACAGCTTTCTTATGACTTATTTACTGTGAAATGCTAATTGTTCCAGGTCCTTGATATGCATTATTTAATTTTCCCAGGTAAAGAAAAGGAAGTTTAATGAGTGATATCCCTGCATTTGCCTTATAAAAACAATGCAAAATATTTCCAATTTTTAAACTATTTGGTGAAGTGGTTCTCAAATGACAGCAGACACTTTCCAGGCCTCTGGAGCAGGTGTTCTAAACCAGCAGCATGCAGCACAATTATTTGTTGTGCTTTAAAAAGCCTTTTAAATGCTTGGGGCCCATTCAGGTGATTTTGAAGTTACCAATTCAAAAATATATTATAGGAGTGCCTGGGTGGCTCAGTAGTTAAGCTCCTGCTTCCGGCTCAGGTCATGAACCCAGGGTCCTGGGATCTAGACCTGCATTGGGCTCCCTGCACGGCAGGAAGTCTGCTTCTCCCTCTCCCACTCCCCCTGCTTGTGTTCCCTCTATCTCTATGTCTCTCTCTGTCAAATAAATAAATAAAAGCTTAAAAAAAATAAAAATAAAAATTTATTATAATAGGAGTACATGGTGGTGATAAAAGATAACTCCAGCAGTACCACAGGAAGATATAAAATTAAAAGTACAAGTCCTGCTGACCCAACTCCCTACAAATAATTATGGTTTTTGACTTTTTGCATATTATATATTTTTAATTTACAAAGGAGATCACATTATACATGTTCCGCAAATGGCTTCTGTCACTGAACAAAGTATTTTAACATGTGTCTACATTAGTATATCTAGGTCCACCTTGATCTTTCAACAGTTTCAATAGAATAGAACAGTTCAATAAAATGAACATCTTTCATATGTATTATTTAAGCAGTCCCTTTCTGATATTTAAATTATCTTTTTTTAAAAGATTTGTTTTATTTTATTTTTTTGAGACAGAGAGAGAGAGCATGAGAAGGGAGAGGTCACAGGGAGAAGCAGACTCCCCGCTGAGCAGGGAGCCTGATGTGGGACTAGATCCCGGGACTCCAGGATCATGACCTAAGCCAAAGACAGTTGCTTAATCAACTGAGCCACCCAGGTGCCCATAAATTATCTTTTTTTTTTTTTTTGCTATTATAATTAACACTATAATTATTATCATACATCCTTATACATCCATATCCTATTGTTTTTTTCCAAGTATACAGTATGGTAAGCAGAATTCTAAAATGACCAGCAATGACTTACAGCATTGTGTAATCTATGGTCACTTTCAGTGGTTGGAATTTGTGAATATGTTGAGACTCCTATGATTACATATCCTTAGGACAAAAGGAAGATTCTTCTAGGTAAGCCTGACCTAATCAGGTAAAAACCTAAAAGGTTTTCCCTAGCTGGCTGATCACAGAAGAGGAAGGCAGAGAGGTGCATTCTGGCTGCCTGGAAAAAAGTAAACATCAACACTGACACTGTGAACTGCTTAGGGGGCCAGGTGGCAAGGAACTGCAAGCAATCTCTGGAAGCTGAGGGCAGTCCCTAGCCAACAGCTAGCAGGAAAACAATGAACATTAACCCTACAGTCATAAGGGCTGACAAAAACTGGTGAGCTTAGAAAAGACCCCAAGCTCCAGATGAGAACCATAGCCCTGGTGACACTTGGATTTCAGTTCAGGGAGACCCTGAGCAGAGAATTCAGCCACACTCTGCCTGGACTTCTGACCTACATAACTGTGAGATAATATATGTGTTGTTTCAAACAGCTAAATTTGTGGTGATTTGTTACACGGCATTAAAAAACGTATATAATCTGCAGGAAAACTCCTAGAAGCCAAACGGCTGGGTCAAAAATTTTTACAGACATTCCAAAATTACTCTTCAAATACCTTATACCAATTTAAGCACACCAACAGATCTAATTTTTTTAAATTTCCTGGGTATTACCTAGTGATTTGAACTGTTTATTCTAAGTCCCAAGGGCTGAAATGATCTGTATCTTGCCCACTTGTAGCTCACTGTTCTGTCAGTGGAACTTTTTTTAAGCGTTCATACTCTAAAATTTTTTGTAATAAGAACGACCTTTCCTTTCATCATCTACTAGGAGAAGGCTGTTTATTACAACTGCGAACTCCAGTGTAGGAAGCTACAATAACAAGAGTTACTATGAGCATATGGATAGCAAGTTGTTATCTATCTATAAGTAAAGGGATTTGGGGAGAAGGACTGGATAAACTCTTGAGCCTCAGAAAACAAATTTCAAAGTTGTTTTTTTCAACTTTGAATATTCTTTTGGGAAAAAAACTTTAAATATTTTATGTTATATTCCTCCAAGATAATAATCTGAGGAGAAATCTGAATAGGACACAAAGTAAAATCCATGTTCAAACCATCATTATGACATTAAAGCATTTGTATATATTCAGTATTATGTGGGGAAAGAGGTAGATTTTAGAGTCAAACAATACTCAAGACTTCATTTATTTGCTAGAGAACAGGGTATAGCAAGAGAAAGCATAAGCACAGGGAGCAGAAGAGGGAGAAGGAGAAGCAGGCTCCCCACTGAGCAGAGAGCCCAATATTGGACTCGATCCCAGGACCCTGGGATCATGACCTGAGCCAAAGGCAGACTCTTAACTGACTGAGCCACCTAGAAATTTTGTTCAGCTTCCTTATTTTATAAAGAATATGCTAGGGGCAGGATGCCTGGGTGGTTCAGTCTGCTAAGCATCTGCCTTCAATTCAGATCATGATTCTAGGGTTCTGGGATCAAGTCACACATCAGTCTCCCTACTCAGCAGGAAGTCTGCTTCTCCCTCGGCCTGCCACTCCCCCTGCTTGTGCTCTCTCTCTCTCTGACAAATAAATAAATAAAATCTTTAAAAAAAAAAAAAATATGCTAGGGGCGCCTGGGCAGCTCAGGTCATTAAGCATCTGCCTTTGGCTTAGGTCGTGATCCCAGGGTCCTGAGATCAAGCCCCGCATCAAGCTCCCTGCTCAGCGGGAGGCCTGCTTCTCCCTCTCCCACTCACCCTGTTTGTGTTCCCTCTCTCACTGTGTCTCTCTCTGTCAAATAAATTTAAAAAAACTAAAAAAAAAAAGGAATATGCTAACATTTTAGAAATTAAAAGGGTTAAAATCTTGTGGGTTTTAATTCAATACTTTCCTTACACTTCATATAAAAATACAAAAATTCCTTAAAGTATGAATTGATACATAATATTTTTAGAGGGCTAGAGTATGTAACTAAAGTCTTTAAAATATTCATGCCCTGTGGTCTAATAATTGTCTTCTGAGAATTTGTGCCAAAGTACAAATCCTAGATGACCATTCATTCAACCAATATTTTTAAGCTATCTCCTATGAGTTATTAGATACTGTTCTAGAAAAACAACAGTGCATAAAATATGTCCCTGCTGTCATGGAACTTAAATTATGGGGGGAGAGAAAAATAATAAATGTATTTTTAAAATATAAATTTTAGGGTGCCCGGGTGGCTCAGTCGGTTAAGCATCGGCTCAGGTCATGATCCCAGGGTCCTGAAATCTAGTCCCGCATCGGTCTCCCTGCTCAGAGAGCCTCCTTCTCCCTCTGCCTCTCCCCCTGCTTGTGCTCTCTCTGTCGCTCTCAAATAAATAAATAAAAATCTTAAAAAAAATAAAATGAAATAAAATATAAATTTTATATAAAAATATATAAAAATTTCAGGTATTGATAGATACTAGTTTTTTTAAAAAGCAGGGCATGAGAGTAAAATGATGAGATATTTAACTTAGAAAAAGCAACCAGGGAAGAAAGTTTCTTAGATGACATGAATGAACAGATAGCTATCTGGGAAACAGTAACTGCAAAAGCCCTGGGGTAAATTCTTTCAAACCAGCCCAATATATTACCATCACATTGAATGTTAAGTAAAAACCAATTGTGAGTACCTAGATTCTGGTCAAAGAAATCTGTGAGGTTTTTTGTTTGTTTTTTTTCAAACAGCTAGCAACATTTTGACTTTCAAAAATTCTACCTTTAATAATAAATTTTTTTACTATTACAGTATTATTTATAGTTGGAAACGATAGAAATGTCATACAGTTATTACTAAATTGGCTACATGAGGGGCGCCTGGATGGCTCAGTGGGTTAAAGCCTCTGCCTTCGGCTCAGGTCATGATCCCAGGGTCCTGGGATCGAGCCCCACATCGGGCTCTCTGCTCAGTGGGGAGCCTGCTTCCTCTTCTCTCTCTCTGCCTGCCTCTCTGCCTACTTGTGATCTCTGTCTGTCAAATAAATAAATAAAATCTTTAAAAAAATAAATAAATAAAATAAATTGGCTACATGATAAGTGCATTCATAAGATGGGATACTTTAAAAATATTAAAATAACATTTTAAAATCATGTTCAAAAATAGTGAGTGGTACAGAAAAAATTTCTTACATAAAGTGAAAAGAGCAATTTATTAATCAGTGCATATAGTAGCCCAATTTTATTTTGAAAATATGTACAGATATATATGCATTTGAACTATTTCATGATAGGCTTTTATATATGCAGAAAAGAAGACTATTTCTCAAATAGTGAGATAATAGTTATTATATTTAAGTTGTATAACTATGCACAATTTTTATCTTCTTTGGACTTTTCTGTTTTCCAAATACCTCAAATGTATTACTTTAATATACATAGGGTGAAACTACAAGTTATTTTCAAGATAAACATTTTAAGGTAGAATCTTGGTTCTGACGAGAAAATGAAAACCAGGACGCACTTGAGTTCCATTAGTTTCTTTTCTGCATGTTTGGTTCATTTTGGGACTGAGAACAGGGGAACTAAAAAAGTTATGGAAGTGCCTGGCTGGCTCAGTCAGTAGAGCAAGTGACTCTTGATCTTGGAGCTGTGAGTTCAAGCCCCACATTAGGAGTAGAGTTTACTTTAAGAAAAAAAAAAAGTTCTGGAAAAGTAATTATACTTACATTCCTGTTTGAAGGTGAAATACTCTGTAAGATGCCTGCATTCATGATTTCCTCGAAGTAGAAACACTGTTTTGGGATGATTAATTTTTAAACTCCATAAAAACAGCACACACTGTAAGACAAATATAAGGATAAATTTTTATACATGACCATGATAACACATAAAGACAATTTATAGGAATTCAAATGACTTGCTATAATGGTATAGCTCATTGCTATTCCCAAATTGAAACATGAAAACTTCCAGCTTTTTGAATGTGACATGCTATTGCCCTAGTCTAGTGAGTAGGCTCCATACATACTTCTCCTTAATTTCTATTCCAATGTTCTATCTAGAACTCTGTGACAAAGCCATTCACATACACACACACACACACACACACCCCCCTATGTCCTAAAATCTGTATTTTATTTAATGAAGAAACACCAGAGACATTTCCACTAAAATAAGGAATGAGGCAAGGATATCCACTATCTTCTGCTACTATTCAACACTATACTAGAGGTATTAGCTAATTGAATTAGACAAGAGAAATTAATTAGAGGTTTAAGAATGGGTAAAAAAAAACCCTCTATTTGAAGATGATATAGTAATGGTATATCTGACAATGGAATACTATGCAGCCATCAAAAGAAATGAAATCTTGCCATTTGCAACGCCGTGGATGGAACTAGAGGGTATTATGCTTAGCAAAATAAGTCAATTGGAGAAAGACAACTATCATATGATCTCCCTGATGTGAGGAAGTGGAGATGTAACATGGGGGGTTTGGGGGTAGGAAAAGAATAAATGAAACAAGATGCGATCAGGAGGGAGACAAACCATAAGAGACTCTTAAAGTCACAAAACAAACTGAGGGTTGCCGGGGGGAAGGGGTTAGGGAGAGGGTGGTGGGGTTATGGACACTGGGGAGGATATGTGTGATGGTAAGTGCTGTGAAGTGTGTAAATCTGGCAATTCACAGACCTGTACCACTGGGGCTAATAATACATTATATGTTTATAAAAAAAAATTATTTAAAAAATTAAAAAAAAATAATAGTGTATCTGAAAAACCCTAGGAAAAGATCAATCATAAAACTAACTCAAACAGGGCGCCTGGGTGGCTCAGTTGGTTAAGCAACTGCCTTCAGCTCGGGTCATGGTCCCAGAGTCCTGGGATCGAGTCCACATCAGGCTCCCAGCTCCATGGGGAGTCTGCTTTTCCCTCTGACCTCCCCTCTCATGCTCTCTCTCACGCTGTCTCTCTCTCTCTCTCAAAATAAATAAATAATAAAAATCTTAAGAAAAAAAACTAACTCAAATAATAAAAGAACTCAGCGATAAGGCAGGATATAAAATTAATATACAAAATCAATAGCCTTCATATACACAATAAATAGGACACACAGTAGAGAAAACGCCATCTACAATAGAGCAAAGAAGATTAAGCATATAGGAATGCAAGATTAAGCATATAGGAATAAATTTAGTAAGAAATGTGCAAAATTAATACCAAGAAAAACTTAAAATCCTCCTGAAAAACACAAAAATAGGCAAGAACAAATAGAAAAATATTCCTTGTTCTTGGATAGGATGATTCAGCATTAGCTCCTCCTAATTTATAAAATTACTGCAATTCCAATAAGAATACCAACAAGCTATTTTATGGAGTTAGACAAGGTGATACTAAAATTTCTATGGAAAAATAAACATGCAAGAACAGCCAGGAAACAGCCAAGAAAAAAACATCGAAAAAAGAGAACTACATGGGAAGGGGAACTAGTCCTATTTGACATTAAAAGATACTATAAAGCTTCTATAATTAAAACAGTGGTACTGGAACATATATAGGTAAATAAAATGGAATAAAATAGTCCAGAAATTAATTCAAGTATGTACAGAATTTTGGTATAATCCTAGATCACTAGGAGTAATGATGGACTTCCTTTTTTTTTTTTTTTAAGATTTTATTTATTTATTTGAGAGAGAAAAGGTACACACGTGCGCACAAGCAGGAAGCCCAGTGTGGGGCTCCTCATAGAACCTGATCCTACTATCCCATGACCCTGAGATCATGACCAGAGCTGAAGTCAGATGTTTAACTGACTAAGCCACTAGGTCCCCCTAATGATGGACTTCTTAATAAATGTCTCTGGGACAACTGGTGCCATTTCAAAAAAATCAGAACCATAACCTACATAATATATAATAAATGAAAAATGAACAAGGGAGCTAATGGTATCGATATGAAACCATTTAAGTTCTATAAGAAAAAATAGTGAGGAGTGCGTGGGTGGCTCAAGTCGGTTAAGTGTGTCTGCCTTCAGCTCAGGTCATGATCTCCAGGTCCTGGAATCAATCCCCACATCAGGCTTCCTGCTCAGCAGGGAGTCTGCTTGTCCCTCTCCCTCTGCCTCTCCTCCTGCTTGTGCTTTCTCTCTCTCCCTCTCAAATAAATAATTGGCAAAAACTGATAAAACTAAATATTCATTTAACTTTTGACCTACCCTGAAGATACCCTCCAACAATAAGAAAATACATATGCACAAAGTTGCAGTATTCCTTATAATACAGCAAAATTTTGAAAACAACCTAAATGACCATACATAGGGCAGACGGCTGAGCAAATTATGACACACTCACACAAGAAAGTACCACGAAGCTACGGAAAAAAACAAACAAACAAACAAACAAACAAAAAAGCCAGACAGAAAGATCTCTATAAACTGATTTGGAACAATTTCCAAAATACACTGTGAAGTGAAAAAAGCAAAATGCAAAAGAGTATGCTACCGTTTCTGTAATAAAGAAGAAATATAAGAAATATACACGTATTGGGGTGCCTGGGTGGCTTAGTCGTTAAGCGTCTGCCTTCGGCCTAGGTCATAATCCTAGGATCCTGGGATCGAGCCCCACATCGGGCTCCCTGCTCAGCAGGAAGCCTGCTTCTCCCTCTCCCACTCCCTCTGCTTGTGTTCCCTCTCTCTGTGTCTCTCTCTATCAAATAAATACATAAAATCTTTAAAAAAAAAAAAAACACAGTTTTTGTTTTTTTTTTAAAGAAATACACATGTATTTACTCATTTGTGCAGAAGAAATACAGGAAGGATAAATCAGAAACTGAAGTTACCTATAGTGGGCACAGAGGAAAGGGGTGGAAGAAAGGGGGCACTGGGAAGAGTTTAAGAGCACTGAGGAGGGAACAAGGCTTCTCAAAGGATAACACTTTGGATAGCTTTGACTTCTAGAACAACAGTAATGTTTTACATATGTCCCCAAAATAAATAATTAAATCAACCAGCATGTGAAAGAAAACCCCAAACAGAATACAAACAGTAATAAACCTAACTGTATTATAAATAGATAAAGCAACAAAGAAGGGTATGGGGAAAAAAAGAACTAACCAAAGTAACTTTGGAAAATAGCATTTTGTCTGCATACTGCAAGGCTAAAGACGTAGAGAAATATACACCAACACTGTATCTCTAGTTAGTAAATCTGTTTTCACAGCATGAATTGGCTTTATATACTTATTTCATGGGTATACTAGGATTGAACAGACAAGTAAATATATTGTAGGTAATGGAATAGGAAAGGAAGAAGACTAGACTGAATCTTGTGATGTTGGGACTGGAATCAAAACTTACTCTTTTTAGGGTATATACAGATAGATATAGAAACAAATAAAAATGTGGGTATATGTGCAGGTTAGTGTGTTTATATCTATTTCCTAGCTCCTCCTGAGAGGGCCTAGGACCTCAAAATCACTATGTGTATTGATTTTGGGACTACAAATAAATTTTAGCAAGAAGGCATATATGCAAACACAGAACCTGCAAATAATGATCAATCATATATACTCATCATGAAATATACATTATCTCAAACACAGTCTCCAAACACAAGCAACAACTGACAGGATTATGGTAAGAATCACATAATCAATAACTGGAGTTGGCAATTTTGATACTCAAAAGCAACTCCTAGTTCAAGCAGAAAGAAATAATGAAAGTTACAAGGAACAATTCAATGCAAACAGAATTTTTCAATTGCAATTTCAAACAATTGCAATGCAAAAAGAATGCATTATTTTCAAGTATATACAAGACAGCCACAAAGGGGCACCTGGCTGGCTCACTTGGTAGAACATGGCAACTCTTGATCTTGGGGCTGTGTGTTCAAGCCCCATGTTGAGTGTAGGGTACTTAAAAAAAAAATGGTCACATAAATCTACTAGGTACCTCATCACAAAGGGAGTCTCAAAAAAATTCCAAAGTATGAGTATTATTCAGGTTATGTTCTCTAATTAAATTACATTAATTAGAATCAGTAACAAAATATAACACTAATAAAAAATCCTGCATGACTGAAAACAAAAAAATATTACTTCATTATCCTAGAGTTAAAGAGAATTCTTAAAATATAAAATACTAAATAGGGGCACCTGGGTGGCTGAGTGGGTTAAGCCTCTGCCTTCGGCTCAGGTCATGATCTCAGAGTCCTGGGATCGAGCCCCACATAGGGCTCTCTGCTCAGGGAGCCTGCTTCCTCCTCTCTCTCTGCCTGCCTCTCTGCCTACTTGTAATCTCTGTCTGTCAAATAAATAAATA